TCAACTTGCCTCCTCTCCCCTTTTGTCACTCAGTATAGGAGGTTGGTCAGTCTTTGGGTCAGTATAACATTACAGACTAAGTCACTGATCAACATCTGTAATCTCCTCAAACTTTGTCTATTTCTACTTCATTCATTTTGCCAACCAAAAAACAATTTTATGTGAGTTGATATTTTATTTATTTAAATAAATTTTCTGAGATTTTCACAAGAAAGCTGGATGTAAACTTTTTGGCTTAAAAAGGTGAATCCCCTCCCCTCCCCTGGTGAAGCAGTGCAATATTTGTGTGATTCTTATTAGAACTGCCAAACCAACCCAGGAATATCAAAATGTAATTTGTTTAACCATTGCAAAGAACCCCTTTTTTTGTTAGTCGTCCTGCAAAATCTGAATCCCTAAACAGATTTTGACTCTTTCTGAATTTCTCGGACAAGATATTCTTGCTCTTAATCCCATCCGCCAGAAGCTTCATCAGTTGCTTTCTCTGGTTTTCTTCTGAAACCTGTTAGATCAAGTAACTTTTAGGGAGTTTTGAATAGAACACCATTTTATTTTGTCGTGTGAGGAGAGGAGTTGGAACGGAGTCTTGTTGTATACTTGTTTTGAACTTTCCTTCCCCTCTTGTTACCAGATACAACAAGCACCTAAAGATTGCCAGAGAATGAAGAAGCTGAAATGTTAAATAAAGCAACAAATGAGGACATTAGTTTTTTTTTTTTTTTTTTTAAAAAACTCTTTAGATTTTTTCATTGTATACTGTCACAAATTCCTGACTACTATTTAAAGGAAGTGAAGGATACTTTCTTGGCTTTTGCTATCATAACCCCCTCCCCACCGCCTCACTCTGGCTGAGAAGCCAGTGTTGGGTTTCTGCCTTGGCTTTTTTTTTTTTTTTTTTTTTCTGTATGACTGGTGTCATTTTCATTCTCAAGGATTAATCATATGTTGGGGTAGAGGAGCAGAATCAAAGAAGTCTCTTCCATACCAACATGTATGTAAATATGTACAGGTGATGTTAATTTCTTCCCTTGTCTCTCTTTTCTAACCCCCCCCCGTCTTATTTCTAAATCCCATTTCCCTTGCCTTTTGTATGTAATCACCTTCTCCCCTCCCAACACCCTTTATTCATGAAATATTTTTCCTCCGATTTTCTAAAAACACAAACCTGAAGCAAAAACTATTTCAGCAATTTTAAATTTGATTTTGTTAGTAGTAAAGAAAAACTTTACCCCATCCCTACCCCCTTCTCCCTAACATCTATGGGAGATTATAAGCATATTCTTTTTCTGCTTTTTTATAGAACTTATGTGTCTCTGTCTCTCCTTAGTCAGTTTTTATCAATTTCTCAGGGTCTGCTAGCCATCAGAATGGCTTTTGTTTCATTTCACAGAAATTTGATAGTCTTTCCAAAAATTATTGTATGCGGCTACCAACAAACATGGCATTAGACTGGGTTTGTTGATGTTCAGCTGCACTTAACATTGTCCTCTTTTGTCTTTAATCTTCTAAAGGTTTTATTTGAAGAATAGAAAACAAAATTCTTCAGAATTCTTACACTGTTTGTCTTGTGCATGTGTTGTTTGATTGTGTTCACTTCACCCCCCCCCCAATTCCAAAATGTCACTAATCCTGTAGTTTGTTTGTGTTCTTTCCCCCACTCCCCTCCCAACTCATAGAGGACACTTTCCCATCCCCACCATACCTCCTGGGATTGGGCAGAGAGCCCAGGTCAATTTCATGTTTTGCCCCCCTTGCCTGCTTTTTTTTTTTTGTTTGCTGCTGCTGCTCTCCTATTTCTCTATTATTTCTTCTGGGCTCCCCATCTCTCTCTTAATTGAAAAACTATTTCCTAAGTTTACATTACAAAATTCATTTTTATTAATTTCTGCATGAGTATTTGAGTTTTACCTCCATTTCAATTGGCAAATCTTGTCTACTTCCATATGTTCCATATGTAGACACATTTAAAAAAAAAAAAAAAAAAAAAAAAGCGTTGTCAACCCATCCACCCCTCCCATGTATCTTGTTGCCTTTGTTTTTTCTTTACTACTCCCCTCTATTTTGTCTGCCAATTGAGATGAATGTAGTTGACCAACAGATACAAAAGATTTTCTTTGATTTTAATTTAGTGTTGCTATGGGGGGTAAAAAAAAAAAATTCTCTCTTGTAAGAAAATGGAGTACATTCATTCCAATCAAAACTGTACATCATGATAGAAATGTTAGTCGATTATAAATTTATTAAGTCTGGCTACATAAATTTTTTAAAACTAGTGGTAAAGTTTAAATATAAATCCCTGCCCTTTTGGCCTTACTAATCTCATAAAGTTTGTCACTCCTTACTGCTGTAAATTGACTTGTCTTTTTGAACCTATAGGGGAAAAATAAAAATTTAATTTCTTAAGGTGGGTTATGGTTCCCTTACCTTATCTCTCTTCAATAGCAGCAACATTTTTTTTTTAAATTTTATTTGTTTAATAAATAGCCTTTCTGATGACAAATATCAATCTGCCTGTCAGGCATCATTTAGCAGCAAAAAGGAAGTAAATAAATTTTGGCTGTTTTTTTTTTTTTTTTCTCCTCCCTCTCTCTTAGGGGCACAAAACAATTCTTGCAACTTGTCCCTCGGTCATGTGTTGTCTGTACAAATGAAAATATAGCTAACGCTTCTGGGGATGGAAAATCAGTTTTTTTTTTGTTTTGTTTTTTTTTTTTTTTTTCAAAAACAAACCCACCGGTCTATTTGTTTTGGATGCATATCTTTAGATTTCTCTCCAGTTTTAAGGCGAGAGTGTGGGTTGGAGGGGCAGGGGAATAATTCAGAAAAAAAATTTTTGGTTGCTTGGAAACAATGACCGAGTGCAAAACTGACTTTTCTACCCAGACTTGTTTCTCATGCTGGACATTCACTGATGTTTGGCTGCTGGGATTTTTGTTTCAAGGTTTTTTGTTTTTTTTTTTTTTATATGTAATTATTATTAACTCAAGGCTTTTGCTTCTTTGTCAAATCTTTCCTCTACTTTTCTTCTTCTCATTTATGTCTCTGAACTCCACTTTTGTTAATTCTTAATCATGTTACCAGACAGTTTAAACACAGATGCAGCACTTAGCAATAAAAAAAAAAAAAAAAAAAAGCACAAATGCACCCTGTTTTTTTTTTTTTTTTTTTTTTTTTTTTTTTTTTCCTTTTTTCTTCTCTCTCTCTCTCTCTCCTGTTGCTGCTGATGATATGTATTCTTATCTAAATCTACTTGACAAAACTAAGCAAAAGCCTTGGTTGAAAATACCCCCCTCCTCCTCCTCACAATTATTTGAAACAAACTGTTTCCCTTTACCCATCCCTTGTAAATTTTGGCATATTTGCCCCTGTTCTATTTTTATCTCCAAATTTCAACCCCCAATTACAAAGGAAAATTCTCCCCACACAAAAATCTGTGATATTTGTCATCTACTGCCTATCCCCTCCTTACTTGTCCCCATGTGTTTTGTCTGGAGGCAGAATTTCACAGATCTTCAGGACATCTGACTCAGTGCAGACCTCCTACGTATTAGTAAGGCTACATTAGCCAACCCCAAATTTATCGCAAAATTTTGAGAAATAATCCTGTAATGAAAGGATCTAAAATAAATTCTATTTTTCCATATTTGGCTGTTAGTAATGCATGAAGGGTGAATGTCTGGATGAACGGTCGTTGATTCCTGTGAAATTCTGCCGTCTGCTTGTTTGTCTGTGTCAGTGTGAGCGCTGCTGGCTGCAATGGTCATCGTTCCATCTTACACTTGGGCCACGATGACACCTGCAGCTGATCTGTATGCTATTGTGACATTAAAAAAAAAATGATCACAACAAATTCCTGTTTTTTTGTTTTTATTTGCTCAATTGGGACTGTTTTTCTTGCTGCTTTTTGTGAAAACAAAATGAAGGTTTTAATTATCAAACTTTTTTTTTTTTTTAATGAATAAGTAGAAAGTGCTTTTTCACATTTGGTAGACAGCCAGCAAGGAAAAAGGATTATTGAATTTTCTAACAATAATGGCTATTAAGATAACTCTTGCCCTCCCCATAAAATGAGACATGCTAAACATGTCCTGCATAAAAACAAACAATTGGTTAGAGAGAACACAGGCAATGATTTATTTCCAACAATCTTCTAAATTGACTGACTCACACATACCAAAAGCAAAGTGGAGGGAATTTTTAATTGCTGAACTCTTGTTCTCCTCTTCCTACAAGCAGCAACAGGAAGCTGGCTTGATCTCACTTGGCCACAAGATGTTCCTTGGCTCTGGTCTATTGAAGCCAACAGGTATGAATTTCTTGGATGCTGTGAAAATGGTCACCATCCAATGAGAATATAAGGAGCAGGAAGTCTGAAGTGCAATTCAAACAAAACTTTGAGATTTTTTTTTAGTACCCTGAGCCACTAAGCAAAGTAGTAAATTATCATTTTTTTTTTTTTTTTTTTTTTTTTTTTTGAGAGCAGGTACAAATAAGTCATTGTAGTTAAAGTTCATTAATTTGGTTGTTGGAAAACATCAAGCAAACTGATTCCATCTTAAATTGTCAAAACAAATAGTAAATGCAGTCAGTGTATCTAATCGGAGGCAGAGCAAAGAATAACTGCTTTATGTAAGTCACTAAAAAGAAAACATTGGTATATTTAGTGTTAGGCTGAATGCACACATGATGAAAATTCACTAAGAATTTGTCCTTTAATCAGAAATAGTCGATTGAGTATTGTTGCCTTTAAGGATTTTAAACAGAACTGCCAACCAGAGTGCAACTGACTACCCACAGGGAGACAAGGCTGCAAATAACAAATTTAGTGTAGCAACTGAAAATGGTGCTGAATGCAAGAGGCAATCTTGTAGGTTCATCCAGCAAAATGAGTCATTGATTTAGGGTGGGGGATCAAATCAGCCACATTATTCAGTTGATGTCTTGTGTTGCTCAAAAGAAAGATTCACAGAAATCGGGTTGGGCAAGCAAGAAGAATTCAGTCAGTAAAGGAGGATGCGTTTTTCGACAGCTTTGCGACAAATTGGGCATTCAGTCATCCGGTCTCCACACATCTGACAGGTTCCATGGCCACACAGGAAAATCATGTTCTTTAAGCGATCCATGCACACAGGACAGGAAGTCTGAAATATTAAAAGAAATTCATTTACACAAAAATTTAATAACCAATTTTTCTCTTTAATTCTGATTAATTAAAAATCAAGAAGAAAAAGTTTCTTTCAAATTTGTCATCAAGTAGGAAAAGAAATAATCACCCTACACAACTTCAGGATATGCATTGGAGCAGGGAAATGGATGAAACATCTTCGATTAGTTTGATCACATATTTAGGACTTTTTATTAAAAAAAAAAAAAAATTTATATATATAAAAAGTCTAACATGCTCCCTTAGTCCAAAATATTAATTACCAGATTATTATCTTGGACTTGTGATATAAATGCAAAAGTTACTGAATGTTTGCTGCTGCTTTTTAATGTCTCTGATCTTTCTCTTTCAGAAATTCCAATTAAGTGCACTTCATTGGAATTTCTTAACAGCAGCTTTGTCTAAAGGTCTTATCTGGAAACTGGCCTTAATATTCACTAAATAGATGCAGATTCACAGCTTGCCAAATTCAAATTTCATCTTTTTACTATAATACTGCAATTTTAACAATTGTTCATGCCTGTATAATTATTTTGGAGAAAAAATAATTTAATGAAGAGTAGGAGGGGATGGTTGTCTAAAAAGATAAGGTTGGTCACAGAATTCTTTTGGCACTATTACTTTGCATAACAGACTGCTTTCCAATCATTTCATCCAATATTTGAGAAAAATATGACTAGACATGTCTACAAGTTAAATTTTCAATTAAAAATGCACAATAAGTATTATTTTCTGTATTATACTTGTAGACAGTCTTCAATATAAAAATCTGAAACATTCCAATTACTGCTAACTTACCAGTGTCAATGTAGTTTTTATTTATTTCTTTTTTATGACATTAACATTTTTTTAACACAACATTGAATACTTTATCATTTTCAAGAACACAGATTCCAATTTTTGAATTGATTTCCTCAAATGGCAATATAATTAGAAATAAAATACTTTTATTATATCCTGTCCCAAGAATCTAGACTTGTTTCAGACTGTTCCAAAATCGACTGACTGATAGATTTCTTTGGTTACCATAGCTTGTTGGATTGTCTCCCCTGCAGTATCCATGATCCTTAACATTTTTTTTTTGTTTAATGCCTTAAACTGGGGCCCAACTCCCCTCTCGGACGTAGTTGGATATGGCTCTTCAGATTCCTTTATCTGTGAATTGTCACAACATTCTTGAGAAAGAGAGAAGTGGTTTTGAATTCAGAGTTGTCTTAAACTGGCTGCCAACCAAGGATTCATGGCTTTCACAAGAAAGTGAATTCAAGACTATGCTAAAATTTGAACTTGGCATGTTGATTCAACTTTCTGCACCAATAACCATTATGCTACTCATACAGTCATAATCTTAAATACAAATCAATATAGTAATAAAAAAAAAAATACTTTTTACCTGATCTTTGATATCTTGTAGTTGTTGTTGTAATTTCTGAATATCTCGAGACAAGTCTCTGGAGCCATTGTTCATGACACCACTAGGCTGAGGAGCTGGTGGAGCTAAAAATAGACACACACCCACAAGAGCAGTGCAAAAAAGAAACAATATAGATGGAATGATTTGTCAATACAAACAAAAAAATGAATTAAAGTTTGCACAATTTATTGTGCATTAACAAAAATAGCAGTAGGTAAAAGCACTTGACTAACTTTTGATCCCAACATTAGAGAATTTAACCTGAAACCCTCTGGCCACTAAATAGTACATAATAGTAACAAAAGGAAAAAAAAAATCTTATCCAGACAGTCATTCTTTTCCAAAATGAAAATCCAAGATGAATGAAATATATTCCTCATCTTTTGGAATTTGCCAAAAAAATCTGAAAAGACTTTACCTTACAGAGAGTGAGAAAAAAATGTTGACAGACACTGAATGTACAAAGAGTTAAACTTACGATTGCCTCCACAACAAACAATGAAAGGAACAGTTTTCTCAATCTGAGCTCGGCATTGGACACACTTCTTCATCAGAGCAGCACAACCTGAATCAAAGATAAATTAGGATTATAATGGAGTTATCAAGAGATGATAGCATACAAATTTTAGCCCTCATTATTTCCATTTACAAAGATATTCACTGATTACACCTCCAAGCAGATATTCCATCCTAACTCACTGGTTCAAATGCTTCCATCTCCTCTTCAGCCCAAAGTGTAGACACACAAGTTTGCATTTAGCTATATCCATTAACAATTAATCAAATTGAAACTGAATGAGATGTCAACACCACAAGAAATCAAAGTAATCAGCCTGCAAAAATGTAGCAAAGCTGCAGGTATTGACTGCATACATCCAAAGATCTGAAAACAACTGCCCTGTTTTGCATGAAAGGCTCCACAAATACCTTGTCAGATTGCTCAAACTACAAAGATATCACTTTGTTTTTGATTGCAGATAAAATCCATAAGAATATGACTAAACAGAAAATTAAAATTAGTTAGGATCATCTTTCTTCAGATTACAACTGACATGGTCACTGACTTAAAGCAGATCTAAGAGAAAAAGGGACATGCCCCCCCTCTCTCTCCCAACAAAGTGTTTGATATAGAAAGTGGGTCAAGCATCTAAATAATCTGGGGAAAAGTGAGCTGTCCATCAATACTTTTTACTATGAATACCCCTACTTCAGATGGTGCCTGATGGATGCAAATGCAACTTCTTTTCCCACTTGAAAACGATTTCAAGCAAGGCTGTTGTTTTATTAGTCTTTAACATGATATTGAAATGGTTGACAGAGATAATGTGTACATCTGCACACATAAAAATGACAACCTGTTCAACCTAAAGAATCTCTGGGCCTATGCTAAGACCTTTATGTAGCTGATCAGAGAGCTCATGTTCAGACAATGTAGCTCTGATCACTCGTCTCTATCAGGTCAACAAAGCTGGAAGTGAACTCCAACACCACCTACCTAGACAACATTATATCCTCTGACACAGACTAGCCAAGGCTAATCAAGTCTTTGGTAGATTACGTAAAATCTGGAGTAATAGTATAACAACTCACTCTGTGCTCATCCTGATGCCAGGAGTATCACTCTGCCAGTCAATATTCCCCACCCAGATTGTGTTTAGGATTTCAGTCTGAGGAAACCTTAGGTAAAGCTGGTTGAAATATCTTCAGGAGCAAAGTAGACAAGTTATATGAAAAGTAAAATGATTTTCAGAACAGACAACCAACTTGTAGAAACAATAATAGAGTTTAATTGTCAAGGCTTACAGTTATCAGATTAGCCCTTCCCAATTCTGTGATTGACCTAACTACAGCTAGTAGGTAAGTAAGGGGGTGATGGCATTATTTACAAAATATTGCTAAAACAAAAGTAATGCCTTAGACTGGTGACTGGCACTTAATTCAACAATTCAATCATGAAACTTCGGTCTTGGGTCTGGAGACAAAGTTGGTCTCCAAGACCTGGTCTCTTCCACTCATTTGTTAGGATGGAGAAAATTTCTTCAAATGAACAACTCTTCTTGGGCAAAGGGTGGTGATATCAGCTTGCAATATCTTCCTTAGCAATTGAACACAATTATTGATTCCTATCTCTAATTTCATCCTGACTACTTCAAGAGCCAGAATTAATGTTTGCTTTGTTATTATTCATTATAGAATATTCTGTTATTTATTTGTATTTATTAAAGTAGACATAGGTTTCAGTTATTGTTTTAAAGTCATTATCCAAATAGATTTAAAAAGGGAATTCTGTTATTGATGTTGGTTCTTAACTTTACATATAAGCTCAAGTCCATATGATTGTTTTTAGATTTTTGCTTTCATTCATATTTTTAATTAATATAAATATATTGCCAATGCAATGGGTGCAAATTATTGGTTTGGATGTTTTTGTTTTTTTTTAAATTTCACTTCATACACAATTCTGATAGTGTTGGAGTAAAAGATGATAACTTGTGTGGTTTCTTGAGAGGTTTTAATTTTAGTTTTGGAGGTGAAAGTGATGGATTTTTTTTTAAATATTCTTAATTATAATGTTTCACTGACAGATGAAATGGTGAATAAATTTTTGGCATCTAGTGATGCTAATACAATGTTTTTGGTTTAATATTTTGTTATAGTGTAACACACCTATTCTATAGTTAGACTCTCCCACCTATAATAATTAGGAGTCGCTCAGTGAGTTGGTCAGTCAGTCGATGTCGGACGACCGTTAGTCGGATACTAAAGTATCAGCGACCCCAACTAGATTTTTCTGCGTCATTACCTATTATATCAAGTTCCTAACGTTTTGTATGTCGAACCTATTTTAGGACCGACTTAGTACAAATACAAGCCTCCACTGTGAAACCACTCCATAACATATTTTCTACAAAATCATCATTGCAATTTCAGGGAAGTACAGTTTAATAATTTGGTTGATTGTTTTGGAAATACAATAGATAATTTGTGAAATTATTGGTCTTACTGAGGTTCCAATTACATATCAGTACAATAATAGTTTCTAATTTTTTACATAGATACAACCTGGTTTGTATAGAGTAATATTGTTTGTTTTCCTTGCACACTTTAGAGTAGGTCTCTCAAATAAAATTAAAGCATGTACATTGGTTACACAATTACTACATTAACTTGTCAATTACATTTATCTTTTTATAGCTCTATTAAATCACATATCACCAAAAAAAAGAAATTCGATAAATACTTATAATTTATAGGATAAGTATTTCGTATTAATGATATGTAAGTTTTAACTATAAAAATTAAACAACCAAGCATCAATAGAATTTTATTCAATTTATGATCAAACATTAAATATATTTCACAACTTAAAACAAATGACTGGATGCAAAACTTGAAAAGCACCAAAGAAATACACTGCATACTTATAGAGGCAGCCTTATTAATATAAAACAATTCCTTGATAATAGCTTATGAAAGCTGAAAATGCTCAAAAGACATTGGACAATTTATATTCAAACTCTGCCTGGAAACCAGAAAAATGATTCAACCTGAAGAAAAAAATTTTAAAAGAATAAAATGTTTCCAATATGATCCATTTTTTTCCAAATCTGAGCAAATATTTTTCTTTTGGAAAGGTTTCTTTCTTTGTGTATGTATAAAGATTTTTTTTTTTGTTTCTATACAAGTGAATAAAAAGTTGCCTAAAAGTTTTTTGATAAATTGAGTGATTTCAGCTGAGCCATTATTAAGACCAAAGACCTTCATAAAAATATAGGCATTTTATTTTTGATGCATTATGATATAACACACACACAGTAATGTGTAAGTGGAATTGTATCAGTCCATTGTTAAAGACATTTAAAATCCCCATACCTTGATTGAAGAAAAGCATATTCAGTTTGTACTTTTTATTTTAATAAGGAATTTAGACTATAATCATTAAGGCATTGGATATTGATAATGACCAAACATATCTGAAAGTAATCACTCAATTTTTTATAGTCAACAATTCTTACCGTCACATGCACACATATGTCCACAGGGTTTGAATAGGATTGAAGCTTTTTTATCAGAACAGACAACGCATTCTTCAATCTGCAAAAAAGACAAACATAGCAACAATCAAAAAAAAAAAAAAAAAAAAAATCAGTTTTTTTTTGTTACCAAAATAAGTACCCAACACACATTTAAGTCATTCTATATTTTTCCTTTACCAAAGAAAATTGCTGGCAAAAAAAAAAAAAAAAAAAAAATCTGTTCCATTTGTCAATATTTCAATGGAATAAAAGAGTAATATTGGTTTTCATACTTTTTATTTATAAAGAAGGGAGAGAGAGGAGGAGGAGAAGCAGAAATCATATACTGACCTTGGTTCGTGACTGCACAGGTTCCTTACAGATGAGACATTTTTTAACTCGTGGAGAGCAGAGAGAGCAAGTGGCAATGTGTGCACAGGGGCCAAACAGAGTGTCCCGCTTAAGGTCCGAGCAGACCATGCATTCTTCAAGAGTTTCTTGGTCATTCCGAATTGTTGCAGCATTGGGTGGACTTACTGGAGGACTGAAACCAACATCACTGCACAATCACAGAAATATTCATAGGAAAAAGAAAAAAAGAAAAAAAAAAGGCATACACAATGGTATTTTAAAATAAAAATGTTTGTTAAACTTTTCAACAAATTACTTATTAAAAGTAACATTAAATGCTGTGAAATTAAGGAAAAGATTTGTGCATTTAGAAAAAAGTTTGAAAATTGGTCAATTCTCATTAAACAAAAATCCCCCCCCCCCTTCACACAACATTTGGATATTGATGTGCAGAAAATGGTTCTGTAGGAAATATTGAAACAGTTATAAATTTATCTTTAGGGATAAATTTATAAAAATATGAGAATTAACACATTTTTTTTTTTTTTAAATCTAATCATATAAATTGGATCTGCTTATTGAGAATAAGTAATTCAATTCAACCCCAAGAGAAAATAGGCAACATTAAAAATGGCTGGAGATTTGAAAGCATTATATACTTCCAGTTATGATTTTAAATCCTGAGATAATCCACTAATTGTAGAAAATATTTCATAACCAATTCAGTTCACTGATAAAGAGTTTTTCTCTTCAACATTGTTTAAATTGAAGAAATTAAGATTCTTCACTGCAGATTACCAATTTCATACTGAAAACATTGGAGAGAATAAAAACATGATTTCAATTTTCCTTGCTTCTTAGAAAGTTCTATTACTAAAATAAAAGCTCTTCTAAGCTATTCCTGATGACTGGTTACTACTAACTGTTTCTCACTTTCCCCAAACTGAAATTAGGAGTGGAGAAGTGAAAAATGAATCGAGAAAAACAGTTTAATCATAATTAGCTTGACACTTACCTATTCCTTTCTTTATGACACTTGGTAAGGGCTTTGCACAAATTTGGGTCTGGACACAGGTCAAGAGGAGACTGACCTTTTTTGTTCTTGATATTAAGATCGGCTCCACTTGCTGCCAAGAAGCAAGCAATGGAAGCACTGGATTTCTTGTCTGCCCCAGGAGTGCCAAGTCCCATCAGAAGCTGTAAAACAGACACCAATGGCAACAAATAAACACAACCAGTCAATAAAAACAACAAAATAAGTTAAATAAAAAAGAAAACTGAAAAATCACGTGATACTTACTAAACTTAGTTTGGCATAATGCAAAATGATTGGTGAAGGCAATAAGATTGTATAGTGTCAATATTCAACATGAAGTGGGCTTGGCTGCATTCAAGATCCTGGCTTTTACTAAGGCTTGAATGGTAGTGGAAAATATACAACTATCTAAGCCACCAAGCAAATTCATGTATCACAATGAATGATAATGAGGTCTTTTCATTATTCCAGAAACTTAGATTATCCTTATCCTTGTTTCAATAACATTTTGTCAAAACAATAAAAGATAGGTATATTGGTCTGAATAATTTGTGGAAGAATGAAAATGTATAATTAAAAAAAAATATGTATAAAATCAACTGGAAAATTTAACAAAGACAAAAAAAAAAAATTAACTTTGTTTGCTGGCTTTGCTTAGGAATTTTGTTTTGTTTGCTACTTTTATAAGATTCTGATGTTTGGCCAGACCAAGAAATTTTTCAGCACCCCCTTGTAATGAAGTAATATTTGTTTATCTTGTATAACATTAGTTTTATAGACCCAAGGATGAAAAACAGTGAACTACTACATTTGCCAGAGTTAAAAAAAAAAAATGAAACAGTTGATCATACAGATTTAATTCAACATTCATTAATTAGAGTTTTTAAAATTGTTTGTCTTGAAAAGAGGGGAAAATCTAAAAAAATTCTGAAAAATTTATTTTTCAATAAAGATCAAAGCCTGAAAAAAAAAAAAAAAATGACCAAAATACTAAGAATATAAATAGAATTTCAGCTCCTTGAAATCTACACGTTTTTTTTCTTCCGTTTTCAGAATGTGTGGCTTTGTTAAGTAAATAGTGAACAATAGACTTGCCATCATCTTTTTGTTTACAGAAGAGAAAATCCAAAATGAAGATATCAGATTGAAAGAATAGGAAGCACAGTTATTCTTGAATAAATACCCTCCTGTCTGCTTGACGATCTTTGAATTTATACTCAAAGACACATGTCATTAAGCAAAGAGCTTAGTAAGTCTGTCTTGCTAATAAGTTTGATACCTCACTATTGTGGCCTTGTGTTAGACTAGGCTCTTCTATGTTGGTATATCAATGGTTCAAACAAAGAAACTGATTTCAAAAGACGATGAAATGCAGTAAAATATTTAAGAAATTTTCTTTTAAATAAGAAAATGTCAATTCAAGTAGATAACTAAAGAAACTTAGAGAGGATTCCCAGAATAAAAAACAATATCTTTTTACCTAAAATCTAAAGAAAAATTTTTTTTTTTTTTTTACACACTGATTTCAAGACAGATAAGTTTTTAACAAAAATTACTTTCTCTATACAATTGATCACTCTTACCCATAGTTAATTAACTGACATTTTTTGCCTAAAAAATGAAGCTTACATCAGAAAATTGCCCTAGTAAGATTAACTTTGCAAAGAATGTTTCAATAATTACATTTTTTTCATTGCAAATTCAGTTTTCCCTGACAATTCTCCAATCATCATCATCAGTTGTGACGACATCAAATGTATAAATGTAAAGTAATATCCTTGCCCAATAAGACTTAACAAAACTCCTTGCAGCCAAGACTTGGTAATTTAATCAAGGAGTTCACATTTAGACAAACAAGACTGATTAACAAATGAAATGTTTCTATTACAAATTTGAAATTGGAGGATATTTCATCTAGGATTGTTACTGCTGACTTGGAATTCTTAGAATTCAATAAAGTGCAGTTTTTACATAACAATCAACATTAGAAAAGAATTTATTGACCAAAACATGAAAATGATGTTTTCTTAGACAAAGCAGCAGTCCATGTTTGGGAAGTGGAGGTAAAGAGAGAAGTAGAAAAGTTTGATCAAAATTAAAGCTTTAATTACTACACTTTTTTACAAGTTCCTCCTTTCAAAATAAGATTTCAAATTTGAGATTGTGGTCAGAAATCATGGACATTTTTTGTTGCTTTCAGATTCATGCTCCATTGTGGTCCTGTACCCTGAAAAATCCAACAAATTGGCAAAAAGAACATAGGAAAATGCAATTAAAATAAACTATTACTTGAAACCTATTAAAGAACAAAGTTTATTGAAAAAGAAAATTTCTAAAAAAAAAAAAAAAAAAATCCTAACTTTGGTCCACTTCCTAGAATTCCTCCTAAACCTCAAGAAAAATGGTTTCTCACATTATTATTAAATATTATGCAGCAGAGAAGAGAATGAAAAAATAATTACTTCAGATTTTGTAATAAAAATCTTCACTTGGATTGTTTTCCACTCCTGACATCTATAGGGACAATACAGAAACTTTAAAGAGAGATAAACTTATACAGCAAGTTACTATTCTTTTGTCATTCTTACAAATAAGTGGATAAAAGTAAAGATCAGTCATACTTTTTACAGGTTCACAGTGAATAAAATGACAAAAACAAGCTATTCAATGGTTAGTGTAGAGAGGCTGATCTTTACTGGGTACTCAACTATTGTAGCCTTGTGCCAGATGAAGCTATCTTTAGTAAATAACTATTTTGATCTTCTTTATGGATTTTTATCCCCATCTTTCTGCCATTTGGCCTTGTCTCATACTAAGCTAAGCTTAATAGATATCAAAAGAAAACCACTCCAAGAATCTCATTTAAGATAACAAGAGTTAAGCCAAGCAAAATGATTTCAATTATTATTTCAATCAATGAACACTGTCTATTTCTTACAAATAATGGACAAATTTAACTGTTCAGTTGTTTTGCCGCCCATAACTTCTACCAAATAAATCATATATATAAAACTGAATGTTCAACCTGGAGATAAACAGGCAAGGTGCATATCTACTATGCCAACATTATGCTGCTTGCAAATATTAAGTCATAGAGTTCTCAGATACTATATGGATACTAGGCAGAGGGCTTGATCCTAGGTGAAAGTGCTAGTCCATGCATAAATAATCCCACCATTTTATTCTTTTAGTAATATTCTGATTATAAATAAAACCTTAAACAATCCCATCCAATAAAGAAATAACTAGAAATATCTGAACCCTTGAAAAAATTTGTATACTATAATCAGTTTGGAGTTATCTCCCCTGAAGTATCAAAATTTCAATGAGCTTCGGTCAAAATGTTGTTATATATATATATATATATATATATATATATATATATATATATATATATATAAATTTTCACCCAATACAGAGCTTGAGAGACACTGAAGGTAGAGGTTTACAGTCAATATGGTAATCATGAATATGGTGTGCGATATGAATGGAAGAGAAGGTAGTCGTAGGAAGTGAGGATTATGAGAAAAAGAGGAAAGATGATGACTGACACTGTCTTAAAGAGGTCAAGATTGAAGTGTCCTGAGAAGTACCCATGTGGGGAGCCGGTTCAATAAGTGGCACTTCTTGGGAAAAAGTTGTCCAAGTGGAAATGTCTTCTTACATTTGGAACACAGTGGATATGAGGCTGATTTGACAGATATTGATCTGTTGTCAAAATTGTTCAGCTTTAAGACATCAAATTAACTTTATGATAACAGCACAGTTATTTGTAGAGAAAGTCAATAACTAATGATTTTCATCTTCAGTTTTTCATTTAATCTGATCAACTCTTATTTCCCCCTCCCAGGAGGCCTGTATCTAACATTGCAAATAAGTTCAAATGTAACCTTATAAGGAATGATGTGTGAATGAAAGAGTTTTACATGAAACAGCACTGCAAACACATTTCAAACCAGCAAGACAGAAAAGCCAAATATCAAAGCCAGATAATAACAGATTTGAAAGCAATAAATAAATAAAAATAAAATAAAATAAAACATTTCCATTTCCAGGGAGAGGGAAGATAAAGGTAATAGAACTTTTCACATTTGTTCAGGAAGGTGGGTTGATAGATGGCTATTATTTGCTGTTGCATGCTTAACTAATTAGTATAAAAAGTCACTGATCTTGGTTATCATCAATACTTACAATGTATTTCCTTTTATTTCATTTGTTACCCTTTAAAACTTCATCCTTACTTTTTTGTTCAATCTTAAGATTTTCCAAAATTTATTCAGTCATTTAATCACATATTGCAAAATTATGAAAATTAATAAGTTTCGTCTGATGACAAAAAAGGGGGGGGGGATTTTTTGTTTAATCCTTTAAATAGTCAGGAGGAAAATATTAAAAGTCATCGGAAGAGATGTGTCAAGACAAACAGGAAATCCCAATGATTTTTAACAGCAAAAAAAGGAGTCAGATAAATGGAAAAAGGGGGTCAGATAATTGAGCACGGAGATATTTTCCTCCTGTATTGACTGACCTGAAGTCTATGAAAATGATTTTGTATCAGAATGAATGTCATCTTTTACAATTCTGTAATGACCAATCAATTTTTGTAATTAAGTAGAAGATAATTGTAGATTGAATTTTATCAATAATATTTTCACTTTTCCAACATAAGAGAGAAAAAAAGAGAGAGAGAGAGATTGAGAAATGGTAGATGCTCCTTGACCGAAGGTGATAAGGGACTGTGCATAAGGTAAGGAGATTCTGTTCATTGAAGTATTTCTTAACATAAATAAAAGGAAAAACCTAAACTGAAAAAGATCACAGTCCTTTTCACACAATTTATCCCAACTAACAGATGCCCAATGTCCCTTCACCAACTACTTTCTCTCTCTCATCTCCAAATAAATGACTTAAATCAATAAAGGAATTGTAAATTGACAGATGTGGAGTGAAAGGGATCTGTTCATTTTTTTTTTTTTTTTTAACTTTTTTTTTTTTATCTTGACTCAGTTTCACCTCTTTTTCTTCTGCACTTTATTTTTTTTTAAAGAAAAGTTTCCAACCATTTTTGCCTGGTTTGAATTTAGTAACAAATACTATGGAGACACACTTTTGACTCAGATTTGATACAATATGCAATTGATTGAAAAATCTTCTCTTTTTAGAATGAAGAGCAGGAGAAAAACAGATTGAAGACAATTCTGCATACATGGGCATAGAGAGAGGTAACAACCAATTAAAGAGATTGGACAGCTTGTTTCCATTGAATTATTCAATACCAGAAGAAGAAACAAATTCACTGCTTTGCTTCCTAGAGTCTTAGTAATAGGATAAAGCAGATAAGGGAAAAGGAAGTGTGTTGGAAGCAACAGTGGCAGCATGAAAGAGAGGGAAAGGAGGGGGAGCAGCAACACAACAACAAAAACAACAACTGCTGGTAGAAGTGAGTGCACAAAAGTCTCCCTTACACTAGTTCTTTTCCATACTGCACTTTGGTGGGAGTTTGCATCAGCTTCTGAGGCGTGGCCACTGGAATTTCTCCCCCCAAATGACTCCAGAGCCTAAAATATAAGAAATGGTGCTCATTTTCTTTTTTTTTTAACCTTATGAATAAATGGTTTTCAAATGACAAAACAACAAACTCTTTGGAGTCTATAGTATGGATGCTCTGTGATACAACTGACATTTTAAAGCTAAAGTTAAGGGGTATTTTTTAGCTTTTGTTTTTAAATAATTTCAACTGAATTTGATTTTAAAATAAAAAAGAAGATCCTGAGGCAAAATAAGATGACAAATTTTGGACAAGAAAACAAAAATAAAATTCAAACAAACAAACATACATTGTATATTTTTTAAAGAAATTATAAAAAAAAAAAAAAAAAAAAAAAAAAACATTCAAGGGATACATTCAAATTTATTCAAAATGACAAGTACAGATTGTCAGAAAAAATTAGAAAAGTGTAGCAGTGGGAAGAATTTTAAGCTTAATCTCAATTGGCTAAAGATTGTCTAACCCTCATACCCTTCCTCCAAGCCAATAATTCAAAATGAGTGGAAGGATCAACTGTTGAAAATCATTTGGGGAAAAAAAGGGGGTGCAGTTCTCAAATGAAGTAAAAAAAAAACAAAAAAAAAAAAAAACAAGATTAACAACATTGGGATGTTTCCATCGTCTTCTGAAATACTTATTATTTGCACTTATTACTCAAAGACAGAAATTGGCCCATTGAGCTACCTGTCTTACTCTTTTGACACCTCAGCCAAATGATATATGGTCAATCACTGTAAGACAGCAAGAAAACAGTGAAAGTTTATCAAAAAGAGCAGCAGGCAAATTAATTTTTTTATATGCACAAAAACAGAATCAAACTACTTATTCAAATATTTTTCCTACTTTGCTATGCCTTTTTATTAATAGACACACAAGAGGGCAAAATATTTTCTTGGCAAATGATAAAAATCCAAGGGAATAAAAGGAGATTGCTAACTATAAGAAGCAAAAGTTAACAGAAAAAATAAAAAAATAAAAATTAGCAGACTGTTTTTTTTCTTTGTAAAGCAAGATACTTAAGACTGTGTTACATACTTGGTTGTATAAACTAACATTAGGGTGGGTATTTCTTTTGCACCAAACTATTTCTGTTAATCTACATTCTCTGTGCTTATAATAGACTTGCCTATCAATGTTATAGCTCACTAAAGACATTTAGGAGACAAAAAGGAAAATGGGAAAGGTTTGAAGCACTTATACCAGGTTTGATCAAATGCTTTAAAGTTAGATTTTCTTTAATAGCCACAAAATGTACAGACAATAATAATGAGTAACTTCAATTAATCTACAATTTGTATTATACCTAAATGCATAAAATTTACCCTTAAAATTGAGAACTGTTACTCCAAAAATAGTACTTTAACAAAAAGTGTACTTTTGAAAACAAAGCAACTTCTATAAACCACTAAAAAAAAGGAGGAGGTTAGATGTATATATTGAAAAATGGGGGAAAGTGGTAGATATACTCCTGAATTATCCATTGTTCTTGACATATCATGTTGTTGTATCATAGAGACTTGTACAACTGTAATCCTTACAATTTATCAATGGCCACTATTTACTTTCACAAAAGGAAAATGACAAGAACAGCCCAAACCAAATCTGCTGACATCAGAAGCCATTATCCCACATTTAGATTGTTGTCTTCATCTTTGTTGTTTGTAACAACATTTTGGCCAATACATTTTCTAGTCATCTTCATTAATTGTATATTATAACCAGATAGGATCTACTCCTGAAAAATGCTGAGAATATGTCAACCAAAATACTCCATTAAAAAAGATGAAGACAATAATTTGATTAATATATGGAATAATGAAAATGCTTCATCTGAGAACTTCAGCAAACAACCTCTACATAGTGGTTTCATACTGAGTCTCTTTCTTTCTCTCCAACTTAACATTTATTTCTCTCAGCATTTGTTGATATCGACTGACAAGATGCTAAGATCAAGAAATGTACAGAACTCAGTTGCTGGGAAATGCTGGCAGTTACATTTAAGCCAAAAAGCTTTGAACAGATAGAAAACAAAATAAAAAGAAGTAAACTGGAATTTCATAATTTTATGGATTTTCTAGGTATTTATATTTGTGACAAGGTAACAAATTTGGGGGCACCCAGTGAAAATCTAACTCACTATAGAAGTAATCCCCTGTGAAAAAACCTAACTACTACAGCTCCATGGACATGATAGATGAACTTTGATCATCTATCATCCATGACCTAACACAGATTCATTTAATTCTTATGGAATAGCCAATCAAAGCCTCTAAGCTAAAATAAGTCTATAGTTTAAATCTCTAAAATATTAAGTCAAAAACTGTTGATGTTAATATAAATGAAAAGTGAATGAGGGAAAACATATTGTGCAAGAGAAAACAGTAGTCACATGTAAAAAGCTTTGTCTGTATACCAAGGGCTGTTACTGTTGGTATATACGGTATGAGTGTTTGCAGAAAAAAGGAAAAAAAAATGAAAGGCCATCTCACCTTGCCAACATCTTGCATATCTTGCAACTGTCTCAATTGGGAGAGAGTGTGGTGTCGTAGTGCTTCATGTAGAGGGGTGTCTCCATCCTTGTCAGGGATGTTCAGGTTGCATTTCTCGCGAACAAGAAGCTAAAAATTAAAACAAGCAAAATATAATTTTAGTCTAAAAAAATTCAAGGCTTCTAAGAGCCCCAAACTGAAAAACATTCAAAATTAACTAAAATAATTTTCTTTAGTCATGAAATGCACAATCTTCTTCAGCAATTGAGGAAATCTAAAAACATTTTTAACATTTCTGCTGCTGCTGTTGATGTACTTATACATCTTTATGAAACTTAGCTTGCCTGTTGTTGACATACATATACATTTTCAAGACACCTTGCATTTATGTTATAAATTAACACTTAATACTATTTTTAAACCAGTGTATATATATATATATATATATATATATTAGTGTGCAATATGACCTGTTTTGTGATGCTTTTTATTGTGTTGGGAGTGTTTAGCTTAGTCTTTACTAAAAAGTATCCAATCAAAAACAAAATAGTGGTGCCCACAAAAAAATTCTTCTCAGCATATTTATACTCATTTATTTCTTTTAAAGGGCAATTTCCAATTTTTTTCCAAACGGGGCCAGCACTGCCAGATAACAATGTTATACCAATGCAGCAATGAAAGTATTGATTGAATACTTTTTCCTTTTATTACTTTAGTAAGTGAAAGAACTAATTATGGGGATTAATCATTCTATGTAATTTTTCATCCGTTTGCAATTTGGGTGTGTAAAATAAATCATTGAAATGACAAAGTGTTTAAAAGGAAAAAAAATTTTTAGGAAGACAAAATCCAATGTTATCAACAAAGAGCTATGTGCCTCACATTCAAACAACATGCAACTCTTGCCTATAGAAACAAAATGATTACTTTGTGTTGTGGAGTTATTTCGCAGTTGAGGCTTGTATTTGTATTAAATTGGTCCTAAAATAGGTTCAACTTACAAAATGTTAGGAACTTGATATAATAGGTATTACGCAGAGTAATCTTGTTGTGGTCGCTGACTACTTTTGTATTCGACTAACTGTCAACTACTGTCGTCCGACATCGACTGACCCTTGTTTCTCTTACTACTCCTACTTATATTAGGTGGGAGATTAACTATAACTATAGAATAGGTGTGTTTCACCATAACACCCACCTCCTAAAACTTTACTCCGAAGGAGTAAAACAGTTTTCTTTATTTATTTTTTACAGGAAATATGAAGAAAAAACAAAAAACTTCATTTTTTTAGCAACATCGTAGCATATCTCCTATGTTTTGGATCCACTTTTAAAAAATCAGTTGCCTTTCTTTTTCTCCTGGATCGGCGTACCTCAGGTAAAATCGTTGCAGGCGTTGTTAGATCGAAAATCACCTCCATCAGCATTTCTTCCGCGGGACCGCTGTCAACCATGTCTGAAGAGCGTCGTCTGATCTGGTTAATGTGCCGTCTGCACGTGAATTTTTCGCCTTTCACCAAGTACATCATATTGCCAATCCGCTTTTCTATTTTTCCAATCTCCCAGAATGATTTATTCTGTTTATAGACCTTAAAGTATACTTTTTCACTAGGATTGTATTTTTTTTACTTGAATAAATTTTTCTCTACCTGGCTTTGTCTTTTTATATATATATTAATAATTTGTTGAAGACAGATCTTACCCGACATGCGAACATCACCTCGGCTGGCGATTGTGAAGCTGGTGTTCCGTTATTTGGGGTATATCTGTATACCTGTAGAAATTTCTGTAAGGCTTCATCTGCAGGTATTTCTCTAGCTTTCTTTAGAGCTCTTTTTAGGGTGTCCACAAATTTTTCAGCTAACCCGTTTGATCTTGGGTGATATGGAGATGTGGTAACATGTTCGACGTTGTATTGCTTGCAGATATCTTTAAATTGTTTCAATGTAAACTCATTTCTGTTGTCCGTCACAATGGTGTGTCTACTACACCAAACCTTGTGAACAATTCCAGCAGGAAGTTTTAGTACTTTGCGTTGTCGGTTCTTATCCTTTGTATCTCAGGCCATTTTTGAGAAACTATCCACTACTATTGTAATGGTATCCATTCAGTGGACCTCACGAAATCCACATGTAACCCTAGACCATGGTAGGTCTGTTTTTTTGCCAGGGGTTAAATTTTATTGGGGGGTGCCTTTGCAGCTAAAGCACAGTCTTTACATTTTGCCACTGCGTTTTCAATGTCACTGTCCATATTCGGTCAATATACAAAACTTTGCATTAAATGATTCATCCTAGTGCTGCCCCGGATGACCAGTATGAAACTGCTTTAGTATTTGCTTTTTGCAGTGTGTATGGAATCACCACACGTTCTCTGTATAACAATAATGTATCATAAAGCAAAAAAACATTTGTTGTTTGCTGGTCCCTCTTGGCTATTTTTCTTTTATTTTCAAGATATACTTGTCCCTGTTAGCTGCTTCTTTTATTTTTCTAGAGTTACCAGAAGTTCCCGAACTGCATTACACACAGTAAATTTCAGCCTCTTCTTCCGACTTCAGTGAGGCAATTACCGTGTCTTCTAATGGTTAGTTTCATTTTAGAATTAACCTGGACAGCCCATCAGCATAGCCAAATTTATTCGATGGTATGTACTCCATGCTAAAAGTTATAATTTAGCAATATTGTACCCCTCTCTGTAGTCAGTTGGCTGTATGCATATATTTAAACCCTTTTTAATCCAAAAATCGAAATTAGGGGTGCTTATGATCAGTTTGTAGCTTAAAATGTGGGCCGTGGAGAAAACGGTGAAATTTTGCTTCTGCAAATATTATTCCTAGTGCCTCTTTCTCTATCTGAGAGTAATTCTTCTCAGCCGGAAGTAGTGCTCTAGAAGCATGCACAATTGGTTTTACTTGACCATCTGTCATTTTGTGTAAGATACATGCTCCTACTCCAACATTGACTGACCCTCGTTTCTCTTACTACTCCTACTTAGATGGGAGAATCTATTAACTATAGAATAGGTGTGTTTCACCATAACACTTTGAGAACAGGTTTCACATATTGATGAGTGGTTGCATTTAAAAAGACAATGAAAGGTTTCATATTATGTTACCAGTATCAAATAAAAATGAAAACCACTGACTTTAAAATTTCAAATGAAAATTTAACAGAGAAATAAATAACTTTAAACCTGTCCAAAAGAACATTTGTGTAGATAATCTTGATTTTTCCTACTCAACACCTCCCACTCTGACCAGCATTACTTACTCGAACAATCTGTGTGTGTTGTCTTTCTACTGCCAAATGTAGGGCTGTTTGCAAATTCACATTTTGAATATCCATGTTAGCTTTGCCCTGAAGAAAAATAAAAATAAACAGACATTAATTTATATATCAAACTCAAACACCCACACTCAACAGAGGAAAAATAGATTATAATCAATGCAGACAATGGCTGATTATAGGTAAATTTTAACTGAAATTAAATACCCTTATTTGGAAACAATTCTAAAAGTGCTTTTAATGCCGAGAGAAATAAATGTTTCTCATCCAACCTTCAAATTAATGCCGATTGGTTGCAACTCCCTGCTATTTATTACCATCTCTTATAACAAAGAAATAAGATGATTCACATAATTAATGAAGATTTTAACAACATTTAATGAAGTTTCCTCAACTTTAATCAAATTTTTATGCCTATCTCATACCTCAATAATAGGTTGCCCTTAAAACAGACAAGCAGACATTATTATTTTTAAAAAATTGAGCGTCAAATATCAAAAGTAATTTCCTGACCATTTTTGCATCTCCAGGGAATTCAGAAAATTATATACAAATCCTGTCACATGACATATTCTTTTTAATTTTAAAACATCAGCCTTTAAGATTCACTCCTTCCTACCTACTTGTTTAAATAATAGAAATTTGGTCTAATACAAACATACATTTTAAAATTTTACTGAACTGTTAATTTTTTTTTCTTCCAGCCTAAGAGACTGACAATGCCAATGCTACATTAAAAGTAGCTTACTAAGCCACATATTTGCAAGCAGCAGAGAATTTTTAATAACAGTGTCAGCACCTTTTAAAAAGAGCCCTACCCATTAATATAATATTAAATTGAAGTCAGCACATTTATTTTTTCTAAAAACATGTTTAATTAATATTGATTTTGAACACCAGAAGTTGCATTGCTTTCTATAAAGTCCAAAAATTAAAAAAATTAACAAAGAGAAAATTGAAGAGGCAACCAAGTCTCTTTCCAAACACAAAATTTGTGAGAATTTTGCTTTGAATATTGCTGCCACATCTGGTCTGGTGCTCCTGCTATATATTACAAGATTCTTGATAAAATCCAAAGAATCTGCAATGTTATTGGTCCTGACCTTGCATCTTGGCTTCAGTCCTTTTCCTCACCACCATAACATATCTTCCCTGTTTCTATAAATACTTTCATGGTAATTGTTCTGATGAACTTTCAACTATGGTACCTAAACTTTATGAATTTATGTACAATACTAGATTGATGACATGGTCTCATTATTTTACAATTGAAATGGCTAGATGTAAATGTAAGTTCTATACTAACAGTTTCTTCTACCGCACTTCTCAATTGTACAACTCTTTTCAAGCTTCTTATTTTCCAGTCAACTTTGATCTTCAAAAATGTAAATGCAATATCAATCATTATCTTTTGTCTTAATTCTTGTTCTTTTGTCCTCTCTTCTTAATAATATTTTTTTCTCATATTCTTTAACACTCAGTAACCCATTGCATCCTAGTGACTTTATTGCCTTGCTTGGGATGAAATGATTAAAAAGAAAAAAAAAAGTTAGTCTAAATCATAACTGCAGAAACAATACAAATCCTGAGAGAAAAATATTTTCAAAATGAAGTATGGTTACAATAATAAAAGGTTACAACCACAAGAGGCTAAGATTTTACATTTAAAAATAAAATATTTTACTGCATTTAATGAAAAGAAAGTAACTTTATGAAAACTGAATCATTCAATTATTTTCATCAAAGTATACGGTTTCTTTAAATTCCTGGCATTCTATAAATAACGAAAACACTGAAGAGTACAAGTAGTTGCAATGCTAGAACAAGTTTTTCTGCACCTTATATACTGAAAGGAGTCAGTTTCTTAATGAATATGAAAAAATAACCAACTGTAGATAATAATTACAATTGTCTTGATAATTACTCAGTTTAGTTTAGTCCAGTATAAGGTGAAAGGAGAAACGGGGGTTAGAAGATTGTGTTGTGCCAAATTTACTAGTACTGATATACCAAAAGATCATCATTTAAAACTTTTTTTTTTTAATCTAGATTCCACTGGTGACAAATATGAAACTATTTCAACTTCAAGATATTAAAAGTTTTCATAAATTTCACCTTTAAGATCATTTTAAATAATGAAAAATATAGAGTAAATTTTTTAAATAAAATTTGATGAGTTATTAAATTTTGACTATAGGCAAGTTAACACTCCTCCCTGGTCTTTTGCACAGAAGTAGAAGTTTCTCCCTTGTTCCCTGTTTAAGGATTGGGTTCCCAGGTTTTCATCTTTCATTCCCAGTGGAATTATTGCATTGCTTGGGATGAATTGATTAAAAAAAAAAATAAATAAATAAAATAATGCTTTTTCTTTCAATACAGCTTGAAATTTTATCTGTTTCTATATAATTTTCTTTAAAGAAAGAATGAAAAACAACATCAACTTAATGATATTTATTTGAATCTACAATTATTCTTAAGTCAACTACGCTTTTTTATATGCTGTGTTCTTTCAGGACACTGGTGATCATGGCTCTTTACAACTTCCTGTACTTTGTAGCTCTTAGCACTGTTTTTTTTTTTTTTTTTTTTACTATCCTTCCCATTCATTGATCTGCCATCCATTTACACAAGCTTGTTAGGTAGGTTGATCATGGCTCTCCACAACTTCCTGTACTTTCTAGCTCTTAACAATGTTCACCTTTTTTACTATCCTTCTCACTCCATGATCAACCATCCATTTACACAAGTTCATTAGGTAGGTTACTCATTATTTCCCTGTCCCTTTTACCTTCAATAGGCTTTGGGTCACAAATTTTCCAAACCCTCTTTCTTTATTATGATTCCTAGAAATTTCAACTGTTTCTTTCTGATTTTAAGTATAAATATCTTTTTGTTTCAATTTTCCTTAGAATTTCTTCATCGTTCACATGATCCATCTATGGTAGTCTCGGTATTCTTCTGTAGAACCACATCTCCATTGCCTCATCTCCTCTTTGTCTGTGAGTCCAGCATTCACTGTCATGTATGAGAATCGATATTTACATAGAAGTTCAGCACTCTTTTCTTTGTTTCTAGTAAAATCTTCCTATTTCTTAATACTTTGTTTAGCTTTTGAAAGGTATCTTTCACTATTCCTATGAGCATTCAGTATTTCAGTTACATAAATTACTGCACTTGCTTGATTTTAGCATCCCAACTTTGTAACTCATATCATGTGCTGTTGCTCTTGCTTACAACCATACATTGTCTTTTTACAATTCATGGTTAGTCCATTCTTCCCATTTTCCTTTACTACCTTGTCTAGAAGTTCTTGCAGTTTTCTTTGTGCCTGCTATCAACATGGTGTCATCTGCAGGTTTTATGTCAGTAACATTGTGCCCACTAATAATAAGTCCTGGTAGGACTACTAGTTGGATAAAGATTGCTTCTTTTTTTTTTCTTTTTTGTAATCATTTCACCCCAAGAAAAGTTAATGCCCCTAAGATGCAAGATATTACTGAGAGTGAAAAAGTAAACAAAAAAAAAAATATATGAGAAGACTTTAAGAGAAGGAACTAAGAACCTAATCCTAAACAGGAAATAAGGTATAAACTTCTATTCCTGTTCAAAAGACAAGGAAGGAGTGTGAACTGAGCAACCCTATCTTGCTGTATAAATAATATTGAATAAATCCAGTGTGAAGACACATGCCATATGCTACTTTCTAGTTTTGCTTAATTCATTTTCTGTCTGTATGCAGATGGTTTGCTCCTACTGTATACTCTCAAGAGCTTTATACAATTAAATGAGAAAGCCATTAGTTCCTAATAAAATAGATCAATATATAAACGTGTTCAATTTAAGGAAGAATGAATGTTAGTTTGAATAAATTCATAAGCTGGAAATAAAATAAGCAACTTGTGTAGAGGATTTACAAATAAATTAATACAGACAAAGATTTATAGTGCAACAATGAATGTTACTGGTCTGATATCTTGGAGATTGGACGAGAAGGTCATCAGCAGTTTTGAAAAGTGAAATCAAGATAAGTAGGAAGCAAAAGATAGGTAGATGATGACACAGGGAGGAAAGAGTAACAAACTAAAAAAAAAAAATGTATAAATTGGAAGCATGAGGTGGATGTGTAAATATGAAAATATAAAAAAAAAGTGAGAATCAAAGGGGACCAGAAAGTTGTCTTCATTAAAATTATTTAAACAATCTTAAAGACTGTTTCTTATTTTTATCTCAATTTAAATGTTCAAATTGGTGCATTATGCCACAAAGACTGTGATGAATTCTGTTTTATCAAAATTTACAGGACAAAGTCATTCACAACACAAACTGGTAAAAGTATAAAATAAAGTTGCATAAAAAATATTGGGATAAAAATTAAAATATGGAATTATACATAATTTATAATAGCACTAATGACTATTTTACATATGTCAAGGTTAAAAAAAAACTTTGTGCAAGAGGTCATCAATAATAGAAGTAGGCATTCTTAGAAACATTCTACCCAAAGTATTTAGGTATGATGATTTGATGGAAATAATTTTTCAAGGGTTGAAAGTTTTTAATGAAATAAACCCAAACATCCAATCTTGAAAATCTGGAAAAATTAAATGCACATGTATTTCACATGAGTTCTTTAGGTTTTATTAATAGTGACTCACAATTTTTTGCATTAGTTTGGGAAAGAATAAACATCTTTTTTTCTTTTTTTTCAGAAAAAAATTTACATTGTGTGTGTGTGTATTTGATTCACATATCAACTACAATTTTACTCAAAAATTTATCTGATAAAAATTAATAAAAAAACAAAATGAACATTTCACACACACGTATTTTCTAATGTTTAGAAATGTGTATCAGGCATGTGGCATGAATAATTACTCAGAACATGCATTCACTTGGCCTGGATAGTGTAAACTGTCAACAAAAACCTTATCACACAAGAAAATATTTTTAAATATTTTGAAAATAAATTTAAGTAATCCTTTGATAATGTAGGAAAAATACATTTTACAAAAATTTATAAAAATTTTTCATTTGTGTTTTTTATAAGAAAATAATATTTTTTTTTTATTTAACATGTCTTTAACAAAGGCAGAACTTCTGTTGCCTTTATTGTCCATTATCAAATGTGATTTGTAGCAGCATTCCACAGCATAGAGACTAGATATTATCATGTATGATTTTTAAACTAAATTTGAAAGGTATGGGAGAATTATGTTACAGATTAAAATAAGAAACATTTACTAAATTATACTTTGAATTTACCATTATTCAGTTACAAATATATACAATGAAATTGAAACCTTTTTTGCTATTTTATAAGTAACCATTATATATTTATTTATTTAAATGTTCACTTACCCATCCCTACTCTGCATTTTGTGAAAATTGTATCCACTTGTCAGGGAGGCTTGAGAGTAAAATTGAATTTATTTACAAAAATTATATTTTTCTCAAGATATTAATTAATTTTCATTAGGATTTTTTTTTTTTTTGACAGACTGATTTAAAATGTGTTCGAATATTTTTATGTAGTTGAAGTATTTCAATTAAGGATAGGGATGTGCATAATTTTTGTTTAAATAGATTGTTATTAGTGAAGAGTTCTATTTATAGTTCATTGGATATTAGATATATTTGACTTCTCTAAATATTTAAGGATTTTTATTATAATTATGTTATCACAATATTTATAATTATGCTTGGTTAGATGTAAGTATACTTACAGTTTATATTATTGGATAAAAATAAACAGACAAATTATCATATTTTATTATGCATTGTCAACAGTTTTTGTTATATATAAGATATATGTTTGATTTTTTTTTATACAATGTTGTTTTACACAATAAAATTATTAACTTTATTGTTAACGGCAAAAATCTTATACAAGTATACAAATAGAAAAAAATGCCGTAAGAATTTTTGCCGTTAACAATAAATTTAAAAAAAATCCAGACAACATGCATTTAACGGATGTCAGAATTCATTGAAAAATACATTCCTACCCCCTACCAAAACATAACTAATAACTGATACATCAAAATACAGTGATAATGAACACCCAAACACCCCTTGTCTGGATAAATAGATTTCTCTGTATCCTTGGAAATGTGAATTCATTTTTGAAACATGGTTAGAACTGTGTAGCGAAAAAAAAACATTTTAAATCAATTAATTTATAATATATATATATATGGTGCAGTATAAATATTGTGACAAAAAAAATCTCATAACTCCTAAAAAATTGATGATATCAGTATACAATTTTAACACAAAGTATGTATTAATGTGCTAAATAACATCAGAAAATCTCATTCAATATGGTTCCTCTTAGCCTTCACCACAGGTTGAAAGTCATTGTTGGTGGAACACAATTTCCATGGGTATTTTTGTCCCATACTCTTCAATTTTGCCTACAGAGATTCAATATTGCGGTGCAGAGTAGAACAGGATTCACTCTAAAGAACTACCCACAAACAATAGTTAAGAGTGTAGATATCTGGTGATTCATTCATGCTTGGTGATGAAGCCAAGACAACTGTCTCTGCACCACTGCTGTGTTACATGAGCAGTATGACTCATTGCTGTCTTGTTGAAGTGTCCAATGTCCATCACCATGTGCCATTGCACCACAGTTTGAGTGCAGCTTACAAGATGTCCTCTATGTACACTTCCTTGTTGATCTTTACTCCTTGAGGGGTAATAAGAGGAGATTGCTCTTTCTAAAATTCAAGCCTTCTTAGCCAATTTTCTCATTGACCTTCTTGGATTACACCTGATTTTTTCATTCTGAAGGTGCAAGGACATCCTGGTCTTGGTCTATCTTTGATGGAGGAAGTTTCATTGTATTGATCAATTGTCCTTTTGATAAATATTCTGTTGATTTCCAGCTTTAAAAATCTCAGGTGGATTCAGTTTATTTTCAAGTTGCTCAATTATATACTTTCTCTTAATTTCCATAGACATTGTTGCCTTTAAATACTAAAACACTTTGAAAAAACAAATAATATACATTGTTGCACAAGTACAAAACCATAAACAACAATGTAATGACCAAATATTTAGCAGTAGATTTCATTTGAAATTTTGTAACAGCATTTATGCTGCACACTGTATATATTTACATTAAATGACTGATTTTTTTCTATGGCTTATCAACCCTTTGCAGGTTATTTTAAGCCAGAAAATATTTTTAGATTGTAAGATTTTTTTTTTTTTTTAGATAATAATGGTTTAGTCATACTAGTCTTACTAATTAACCCATAGCTAGAGGAAGAAGTGGATTCTTATCTTTCCCAAGAGTATTTGCACGTAAGTGAATATAATTAACCCAATGGGAATTGGTACTTGGCTCATCAATTAACTATTCCAAGCCATTATCCATTGCATCACCTGCACATCCAAGCTTACAGCACCTGGTATTCTCAAACGGTCACCCATCCAGGTACTGACCAGGCTCAACATTGCTTAGCTTTGGTGAACATACGAGAACTGGTGTTTCAACATGATGTAGGCCATAAGCCTATATAGTTATAATATAAGGGACACTCCTGAAGTTGCATAATAAAATCTCACACCAAGAAATAAGTTATCTATTCTATAATGATGGGCATTCATCTGTGTGTATGTTTACTTGGCTTAAGCTCTAAAATTACAATATTTAGGTCCTTAAAACTATTATATATTCTGCATATTCCAAGTAAGGGTTTGATAAATAATTTATTTCTGTCCTCTTTATATAAGCTAATGGATTTGTAAATTAAAACATGTAATACCATAAGAAAACATAACAAAAGATAAACAGATATTTTTGTATTTCCAATTTAAAGTGGATGTTATTCAATTATTTGTAAATAAACAATGGCAAAGTTAATGAATTAATTTTAGGTTTTATTTTGGTCAATAAAGGATAATTTCTTAATTTTAATTTTTTTTTATATAAAAATACATAAAAAACTAAGCTGTTAATAAAAACATTATTAAACAAATTTCTATTTATTTACTGTAATTAATTTTTTTTAATAAAAAGAGCCAAAAAATTAAATTGAAAATGAAAATATTAAACCAATACATAAGGGCTACCTGGCATTACCCGTGTATTATATCAAAATAACATCAATAATGTACAAATTCATGATGAACAGGATTCATTACAATTCAGTTTTAATGTTCTTTTGATATAATATACAGGCAACAGTGGATAGATCAGCTAGTAGTAAATATTATAAGCTGAATTTCATATAGTATATATATAAGTATATCCTGAAAATGTTGCCAATATCAGTTGGGTAATATCAATTACATTGTGAAAAACTGACTTGAATAAGAAAGTGTGTGTGTATATGTATACATTTTATTGTATATACATGCATATGTTTGTATGTATAATTCTGGTGCAACATTTCCTTTAATGGTTTCAAAAGAAAAAGAAAAAAATGTTGCAGCCTTAATGAAAATGAAATGCTTTATTTAGTAGTTAGTTACCTGGTTTCAAAGCCTAAGAGAAACAAGAGGGTGGGGCAGAGATCAAACAGAGAATGTTGAGGGTGAGGGAAATGGCCAAAATAACATCTGGAAGAAAGTCGAGCTAGAAAAACAGATATCTGCCCAAGATAGACAGGTATGTAAGTAAGTATGAAAGAAACCCTCACAACACCCCTACTCTCCTGTTGCCTATTTAAGGTTAGGGAAGCTCCCCCTTATGCTGACTGAGGCTAGTGGCTGGGGTAGGAGTAGTTCAGTAGTTGTAAAAAGGAGTAGCATCCCTATCACCTAGTGACCCCTATTCCTATCTCAAGCTACTTTTCAACATAAAAGGGGAGTACACATGGGGAATGTCAGAGCCAGAAAAGATTACAGACTGGAAGAAAGGGGGTGGATAGCACCACTAACATAGCATCAAATTTTAATGCCTCTAGCCTTTACCAGGATCTCTTCCTTCTCAAACTCTGCAGTCAGCCAGTAATTAAGGAAGATAACTATTTTTGGAGAAAGAGTGCTCTTCCACCCTAACTTTCTATGTCTTCATTATCACTCCCCCATTATTAGGTCACATCTTATTAACATAAATAAATGGGGAAGAGATATTTCTTAGTGAATGAGACAACTGATATTAACCAATTAATATAATGAAGGATGGGAGGGGATAACTGAAAAAAAAAAAAAAAAAAAAAACCTACAGGAAATATGAAGCAATGTGTGCATAATATATAATTTCAAATGATTACTTTGATAATATTTATGATTCAATAAATACAACTTAAACATTAACAGAGTGAAAGAGAGAACCCGTTTGGTAGTTGTGCATTTCCCACTAACACAATGTGCTTGTGCCCAGGCAAAAAAGCAGACTTTTCAATGCTGATTTAAATATATGAAAGCCTTTCCAACTCAGAAGATCATGTTATATCAATCTTCCTCTACATACAATATGACTCTGCACAAAACTAAACTAAATTCAGTAGATATCTATATTATAATGATCTGAACTCTGTCAATGGGTTTGTTAGCATAGCACAATAAAAATAGCATATCATAACAAAATCTTTAGTAGTGTTGGAGAATAAAGCAATTTCCAATTTCCACTTATGATATTAGTTTGGGATTTGCATTTCCACATTCTTATAATAGGGTGCAATTTTCATGCTTCTTTGGGTGTTTATTACAAAAGTAGACAAGAAAGTCACATCAACATTGAAGAAAAGGAATGGAAAGATTAGAAATTGCTGAATGAAATAATGACACTTTTATTTTGTAATAAAATATTTTCTTTTATCAAATATTTTTTAATAGAAATAACAAATCACTGGCAACACATGCATATATCATACAATATTTTATTACATATATTATTATTTTAATAAGATTTACTTGTTGGCTGATCACTCAGATGACAGCACAAATGACCAAAAAATGGAGATTAAAAAAAGTACATATATTTTTCCAAAATGCAAACTATGACACAGACAATGAATTTCATATTATATATAAATATATATGTACACACACATATTATATATATATATATATATATATATATATATATATATATATATATATATATATATATATATATATACACACACATCTTTTTCAGAGGAATGTAAACATATTGGCCCAAAAAAGTAGCATCAGATTTTTGCTTTCTCCTTTTAAAGGCCTCTGGGATCAAATAAATAATTTTCAAAGCTTTAAAATTATATATATATATATATATATATATATATATATATATGCACAGAAAGTGGTGTCTAAATTAATTAAACAACCAGCAGATGGTCAGTAACTATCCTCATGGTCATTTTTAAAAGAACAGTATTTATTTGTACTGTAAATATTAACAATGTAAGATTTCATTATAAATGCCATACAATAGCTAAAAATAGAATATTGATAAACAAGAACAATAAACCATCCCCACCAAGCACACAAAATACTTCTCTATCATATATGCTTTACAAAGTTGAATTTCACAGAAAGCAGGCATTTCTGAGCAACTTATTTGTTCCCTATAAAATAGACCCTTTCTAATTATTCCTTTTAAAAATCAGTAAAAAGAAACTAAAAAAAAATGCTCTCATTTTATAACTCTGTATTATTCATGAAGGAATCATACAGTAAACAATTTAGAGGCAAGTCAAAATTATTTTTAACAAAGTTACACAAATGGCAAAAGTTAACTGTCTGAAAATATACAATTTACTATTTATTTTCATTAAAAGTTCAAGTATTTAATGATCTAAAAAAATGTGTCATTCATTAGTTTCTTGTCCAATTTAAAAATATAAATAAAATATAAAAATATATTTCTTTGAAAAAATAATCAAGTATTTAAGTGAATAACTTAGATCATAATTATGATAGAAGACTATAATGAGAAATAAGCTATGGTTGAAAAGAAATAAGAAAAATTGTTTTGATGAAGAAGTAAAAGGCGGCTTTTTTTTTTTCTTCTTTTCCTTCAATCTTTCAAGATCTCCCCATCAAATTCACAACTTTTTCTAAAAACTCTTAATAATTAAACAATATACATCAAAAAACAAAACCGGATTCTCTTTATGTCTGAAATAAGAAACAGCTAATTTCAACTTCAGGTATTTATAAGTTAAAATTTGCTCTAGATAATATCAAATTGTACTTAGATATTATTTAAGATATCTCCTGTTTATATGATTGGGGCTGAGAGAGATAACATGTTATATTTTCAATGAACAAATAAATAAATATTGTGGTTCTCAATTGGGAAAAAATCCAGGTACAGTTTTATGTACTAGTTTTATTGTATTTATATTTGCTTTTCAATATTTAATTTAATGCTGCCAAATATAAAAATGAATAACAAAAAATTTATTAATATCAAAACCTATTTTAATTCACGTGTGTATATATATATATATATATATATATATATATATATATATATATATATATATATATATATATATATATATATATATATATTATTTTAAATCCTCTACAAAAAAACTAATGTAGTGTATCAATTTACATGCCCATTCAGAGATTGTATCTCCGATGCTAATAATAAACTCACTACATATATTGGTTTTACTACAACCATGCTCTACCTTTCTGATCTTAGTTTTATTAAGCAACATTTCTTAGAAAAACATAGCCATGTACATAATATTAGACAGATATTAGTTGATAACACAATAATACTCACACCTACACACAGTAAAAAGAACCATGCTGGAGCCCATTTACATTAATACAAAGTAACCCACACTCAACTAAATTACATTTCAAACTAGTCACAACACATTATGTTGCATCCAGGCATTGGTTCTGTTGTAATACTTCAGTCTATAGTGTGGTATAACGTCATCTTGAACTTACAGTCTGCATCTGCTATTCCGCAACTGTTAAAGTTGCATAGCAAACTTCTATATCAAAATAACAAAATATCATCTTTGACAGTGGATATCTTTGTTTCATGTCTGTATAACCACTGAGGATGGCTCATGCAAGCCAAAAGCTTAGGGCCAACTTAATAAAAAATATCCAAATATTGGACAATTTTTGTCTTTATTTTCACCAGAAATTAAAGCAAACATTCAAACATTAGAACAGCTCATTGTCTGTTATATTTAATAATATATGTTTAAATTATAATTATATATTTCTGAGATGAGATATTGTAATTATTAACATTGTTTGGACTGTTACTGTTACCATATTCACAACATTTTAACCATTGTATGCTCTGGCCTTCTTCAGGTGATTGGAATTTTGAACTGAACTTTTTATTTCATCCACCGGGATAGATTGTTCTAGTTCCACATGCCATGTCTCTTTCGGATATCTCAATTATCTCCCTTTAATTCAACTCTCCAAGTTTTTGTTCACCACTACAATAGCCAACAACTCTTTGGGTCAAGTCACTGGATCCAACCAAGGCTTTTATCCACAGGGCCATATATCCTCAAGGCACTTGATGTGGAATGCAGTTGAGCAAGAGACCAACAAAACTCCTTGTAACACCAAGGCAAGGATTATGACAGCATTCACCAACTTAAACAAGAAGACTGCCCAGAAGAGTTGCAGGAGATTCCAAAGTCGTCTGGAATCTGTGGTGGAAGCCAGTGCTGATTTTATTGAATAAATTTACTCTTTAGTATTTAAAGATATTTTTGTGTAATTTTGATAAATATATCTGTTAAAATGAGAGCTCAGAGTTATTTTCATTTTTATGTAATTTAGACAATTATCTATTGCACCCTGTGTGTGTGTGTGTGTGTGTGTGTGATATATATATATATATTATACTATATATACCCAAGTATAGTGCAAGTTTTTATGGTCATCTTTTTTCACAAAAAAAATAGTTGGAGGTCCCCCACTATACACAGGTAAATTTTTTCTGAAGGAATTAAAATTCTGGGGTTGTACTATACATTATACATGAGTGTGTGTGTGTATATATATATATATATATATATATATATATATATACATACATATATATATATAACATACATTTAGGTCAATCAATAAATGAATAATATAAAAAGAAAAAGCTTTTATTTTACGCAACAAATATTTATCTTTCAACATAAATTAATTCTTTGTTAACCAAGCACTTCTCTGTAAATTGAATATTATATACTGAAAGTTTCAGATAAAAATTCAGCTAATGTTGAGTTTCAATTAGATGAGCCAGTTGAAATAAAAGGTGGTTGGGTTTTATATATATATATATATATATATATATATATATATATAATTTTCAGTAATGAAATACTTTATTCAAGAATGCTTGCCACCTAAATTAAACAGGGAGAGAAATTTCCTGATTTAATAAAAGATATTTGCAATAAGAATGCTCTTGGTAGATTTTTCTCCAAAAAGCAATAATTATCCCAGCCCATCTATTTGTAACTTAAAGGTAATAATTGTGTTAAGCTTACTGATCCAACCTTGTGTGAGCGACAGAGACATGGAAATATGAAAGTTTTAAGCAAAATGACAATTAAAAATGGAGTAAAAATAAGGAAGACACAAAAAAAAATATAAATAAATGAAAAAGAATCAAAAGGAAATAGAAAATGCATAAACTTCAGTGATCTCCAAAGAATCATTTGAAAAGAACTAAAAGAGAAAAAGTAAACAACAGTTTTTCTTATCAAAATTATCACCAATGATCTATTTTGAAAAAGTTTCAGTTTTTCCAATATGTTTAATTTGAGAAATAATTTCTTTTTTATTCAAGATTTCTTAATTAAATTTAAAATGATTACAATGTTCCCCAACTACTTTTTAAAGATGAGTTTACACATAGTGATTAGGAATCCGACATTGGCCTATCTTCTGTATGGCTCCAATTTTTGGCCATGAGTGACATCACCCAAAATAGAATACTTAAGAGAGGTTCTGTTTTCAGAAATGCTTTGAATCCATCTCAACTGTCAGCCAGCCTGCCACCCACACAACTTCAGGTCTGCAAGATTACACTAAAAGACCCAAGAATAACCAGAAGATGGTAGAAGCATCCCAGCTGGTCAGCTTATCTAATTCTGAATTCTAGAACCCCTTTGGATGAAGGGGAGATAAGAGAATTCCCTTTATGGAGCTTAAGGGTTTCCTCACATTTACAAGGGTGCAGGGATAGGGCACAATGATAAATGTGGAAGCAGCCATTCTGGGTAGAAATTTAATCTCACCCTAAGGAGATGAGAAAAAAAGTGGGAGGAAACATCCCTCTCTGTTTCTCTCAATGCTTCTACCCCTATTACAGTGCTCAAAACTGGGGAAGCAAGTTTTAATAGAGGAAGAAAAAGAGAAATCATGTTTGAAAAGAAAAACTAGAATGTTTATTGAAACAAGAAGTTCCTTTTCAAAAGTCAATGATAGAACAGGAACCAACAAAATTTTGAAATTCATGCAAAATACTAGTTTTAAATAGATTTATAAAATTATTTTTCACCCCTTCTAGAGATTAAATATAAAATTTTGTTTCAAATATCTGAAACTAACCCAACCACTTTTATGAAATTTTTTTTCTCCAAGATAATTTTTACAGATATTTTAATAATTTAAAAGTAAGGTTTCAAATCAAACATCTTTAAAACAGCTAAGATACTGAACACAAATTTATCTAATTACCTAACTATTTATTATAAGTTGTTATGCCATAGAAAAATGTAAAGTGATTGCTGAATTGAAATTTGTCTTAATCAAAAGAATAAATAATTTTTCCATTAAACTTTATATAAAAAACTCTACAAATCATTTTATTTAAAATGGAATAATTTTTATGAAATAATGAATTAAAGTTCTCTTGCAAGTACTTTGTTAATTCAAAATGAGATCATTAATGAGTCAAGGCAAAAATATCACCAGAAACACAGAATTTTATGTAGTGAAAAAAAAAATATTCACCATAAATAAAATTGTTAGCATTGTTAACATTATGAACTACTGCAATGATTTTAGTTTGACAGAACACCAATAGTGATAAATTGAAAATTACAAAATAACATCATTTGATAAAGTACTTTTCACTTTCTTTGTAGGCCAACAGTTATTGATAGCAGTGTCAAAATACAATTCAGAAATTTTACTTTAGGCTGTTGAATTCTCATTTCATTCAATTAAATATATTTTAGAGAGAGCACAGCTCCAGACTAGATTTTCAACATTGTCAGAGAATTGTGCTGAAAAACAATGCCTCAAAAATTTAAAACCATCCTGTAATCTTTTTTTTTTTGAACTTTGTTATCATTTATAAGTGTTAGTATCATAATAAAAACACCATTAAAATATTTAAAAATAAATATTTATTTTGATCTATTCAATCTTTAAACTGTAGTCTATGTTCTGCAGCTACTATAACACATGATCACAACTGTACCTGGGTCAAATTGGTGAGCAGGAGGGCCATAAACAGATTTTCAAGAGGCAGTTGAGCATTTAGTTTATGATGATAAAACATTTTAACCAAAACTTGACCAAAAAAAAAATTTTCTTGCCTTGTTTATTAAAAACAAGATTAGCTTTTATATTAGATCTTAATATTTTTCATGTTTAGAGATATAAAAATACAAATATCTAAATTTAAATTTAATAATTGAGATTTAAAAGTTGTGTATTGTCAATGCATTGTCCCCATCAAAATTTAATCAGTCACCACAAACTAATATTCTATCCTCAACAGGACAGTGTTAATCTTAAACTGAGAGAGAGGTTAAATGAGTGGTGAAAAATTTTTTAATCAGATCAGACTCACCTCTAATCAGACAGATGGGCAGCAGGATGTGAAATATAATGCCAACCTAAAATGGCTTTTTCTTCTCAAAAAACATGTAATTACACATATACATAAATTATATGACCAGATTATCTGTTTTGAAAATGTTTAACATTGATTTGAACTACCATGAATCTCTGATGTCAAATCATAGTTAAATATATTTAAACTACATTTGTATAAAGCAAATTTACTACCATCATATAGTAAATAAAAGCAAATTTTCTGAGTCAAGAGGGTCAATTTATACAGTTGCAGGATTGTAAAGAAATTTTGTAAAAAGATTTCAGAAAAATATTTAGATTTCCTCCACCCAATAAGTAAAATGTAGATCTAATAAAAGATTGATTTACATATTCCAAATTATATACTGGAAAGAAAATATCATATTTTACTTTTTATTCTTTTTTTTTTAGACTAATATAGATTTTATTTTAATATTATTCAGCTCAAGATGTTTTTAAATATTAGACTAAAAATTTTTTACAAATGTGAGTTTACTTACATTGTGGACAAGAAGTTCAGCTTCTTCTTTATGATTGTTTGAGATCTGCCAAGTGGAGGGCAAAAATCATCTTTTTCTCATCTACAATCCATGGACGAGGAAGTTTACAAAAAAAATTCTCATGGCACTGGAAAATAAAATTTTCACTTTTAGCAAAAAATATAACTCACATTTCATAATTTACAAATGCTGACTGCAATTTTCTTTCATTTAACAAAGCATTTGTGAAAGTGTTTTTATTTTTTATTCAAATGATTATTATAAACAAAATAAATATTTGAATGCACTTACTTTGCTTTCCTATTGGTAATATTTTTTAACCTGTATGTGTGTGTGCACATTATTTTGAAACATTAGAAAAGAACAAAAACAAAAGCATGTTTTACATATGCAGTTCTTTAGCTTATGACTGCTTCAATATTAAACAGAAATAGAGATGCTTTTAGTTTAAAATTTACTACATTTCTACTTATCACTTCTTGATTAAGATCTTGAGCATAATTTACAATTTGGGGACATACTATTAATCAATTATACAATTTTTTACTTTTTAAAAAATGCAGTCCAACTTTAAAGTTGCTGGAGTTCATGTAATGGAATTGTTTCAATAATATTCTTTACCTGACATTTTCAAACAAAAAATTTATGAAGGAAAAATAATAGAAATGAAGTTTTTTAAGATTTTAAGATATTCAAACAAAAGATACTAAATCTATAGAGCTTTAATCTTTTTCTATCCAATGATGATAACAATTTGCCTGATAAGAAAATAGATACAGCTTATAAAAAAAATTTATATTTATTTTATGTATTATAATTGACTTCTAACAGTAAGATTTCTGAAACTTAAATTTTAGTGAGATCAATTGCCCAAATATTAAGTCCCTGTGACAGAATAATAGAAGAAATAGAAAGAGAGAGAATGAGAAAGGCTAGTCTGACAGAAAAGAAGAGTATACAGAGATTGAGAGAAAGAGAGGAGAAAAAAACCTGGAGAGATATTGATAGAACTAGAGATGATTGAGATATATCCTCCATTAGATTCCAAGTATGGAAAAAAACAGCTTGATAGATGGAAAATTTCAAATTTTTTGATTAATTTATAATGTTTTAAAGTTTGGAAAGAAAGAGAGAGAGATATTTTTTGTATAAGAGAGAGAGAAATCCACTATTTGAAAACAGTTGTCATAATGAATTTTTCATTGATTTTTTTATTGCATATTTCAATGACATATCACCATGCTTTAACAGATCTTTTGTGTTAGTTGTCTTTCTGCCATCGATTGTTGTTGTAATGTCAAAAGGTTCCTTGATCTATAAAGATTTAAAAAAAATGTTTGCATTTGAATTCAGGCTCATCCCAGACCTCAAGAGATATTAGTTTGGTTATATGATCCATCAAAAAATGCTGGGAATAATAATTGGTTAATTTGTAATACTTGAATTAAAAATATCTGATCCAAACTGCCAAATAAAAAGCTTTACAAGAGCTAGATTTAGGCCAAAATGGAGTATATCTGGGCTGGAGTTAAAAGAAATTTACTCTCCAGCCTTGAAAAGTGAGAAATGACCTTCCAGGTGATGAAATTTTCCACCCTACAATGAAGAAACCCCACAAACAAATATATTGCTAGAAAGTCACAGCTCTATTGTTATTTTCATATTCAGATTTTTAAAAATTTAATATACATTTTTATAGTTTCATTAGTTCAGACCTTCACAACTAGGAATTCCATTTATTATTTAGTGTTGAGTTGAATATCCTTATTTCCCTTCATATTCCATTGGTAAGGAAGAAGATTCCCTCTGACAATTTTAAAAACTGTTTAAATCAAAAGGGAACAGACTCCATAAAGAATGTTTCAATTCCTGCATAACAAAGAAACTATTTTTGTTTCATTTGATTGAAGAACTGATGACAAAAAATACTTGAATCCTTAATCTAATAAATTTAGATAAAGTTATTTTTTTTTCATGCTCAGTTTTGGAGAATTGTGAACTTATACATGATTGAATCTGAATAAATATAAATTATGTAAAGTTTGCAGACATTTTTTTGAAACCAGTCACCAAAAAGAAAAAAATATTCCTATGAGTATATTTTCAGATTGTGATTGATATCTGAGCACTTTTCTTTCCACATCAAGTGATACCTTTTGGATTACTTTTCTGGAAATATTGAGAGCATCATAGTGTGAATATTTTTAAATTTATATGACATATATATGAAATTATTATATATAACTTTGCAGCTTTTCTAAACCCATTGTAGAGTAGTCTGAATATTTCACCTGAGGTTCTCAACAAGATTTTTAATTAGTTAATGAAAACTGATTTCCTGCTGACAAGAAATGAAGAGTATAAAAATCTACCTTCTATTTCCAATCCTGAATCACACATCCTATATTGCTCATGATCCCCTAACCTTGTTTGCATACATTTTAAAGTGAAGAATTCTAACTAACATAAAAAAAGATAACTCCATTCTGTATTAAAAATTTTTTTGCTTGCCTTTTGTGATCAAATTTGCATCAAATATGTTCATATATTTTATCTATGGTTTCCTTTTACGCTTTCTTTCAGTCAGAAAAAATATTCCTTTAAGAAATTTTTTTTTTAATTTTTTTGTAATTTCAACTAATTGCACATCTGTCTAAACTGTGAATGTGGACATGAGTGTTCCTTTAAATGTTCTGAGATTTAAATATATTAGTATAAAATAGATCAATGCTTCAAATTGATAATCAAAAAATTAAAATTCTAAAGCAAAAAGAGAAGAGATTTGTGGCCAAAAAAAAATCAACTAAAACAAAATAGCAACAAAGTTCTGAAATGTTTGTAGCATATCAAAGTGTTATAAAAAATACTAAATTAAAATATTACAATTAAGAAAATCTTTTTTCAACCTCAATATGTATTACTTTTCTTACATAGAAGTGAAAAAATATTTTCAATTTACAGTGTTAATGCATAACACATCCATAGATATGCAACACCTGAAGATGGTCTCAGATGCGATTGAAAGTACTTTAAAAATAAAATTATTTGAAATAAAATTTTGGAATTTTTATTATAATTTTATACATATACAAAGAAATATATAATTATATATATGAAATATAAAACTAAAATAAACATATTATATCTAAATTATTTAACCAAACATATATATATATATATATATATATATTTTTTTAAAAAAAATTTATAACATAAGTATGTTATAAAATCACTACAAAAATAGCCATTTTGTTTCAACACACTCTGTGTCTTATCAAGTGATGATGTTGAAAATAAAATAAATGGTTTTAAAAGTTTCAGATTAATTAACGATCCTACACTAGGGGGAAACATTGTTACAAAAGCTAGAATAACCAATCAAAAACGAAGTATAGAAAGATTCAAAAGCTTGACAACGAAATCCTGCTATAATAGCTATTCAGATCTTTAAATACGTGTAATATTAAAAATAATTTATACTAACTAATAATTATAAAATTATATGATAAAATTTAATATTAAAATTAAAAACTGGCAA